TCTTCCAATGACCCCGAGCTCTCGGGAATATGACCACCGTCCATTCTGATGTCTCCGTGATCGTCATCTCTTCTTTCCCCTTCACTGGATCAGGCAAAAGTCCTCCCACCTTCAGGTTGGGGAAATCGTTTAGTAAATCTCGTACATGCACACCTTCTTTCTCCTCCGTCTTTTTCGGAACCCAAAAAGCCCACTCTCCCCTTGTCTCTTTTATCTCCTGCTCCCATACCGTGATTTCTGACTCCTCTTTTCCTTTCTCTTCCTCCTCTAAGCAAATCCCCATTTTACCGTATTTTTTGCTTCATAAGACGCTCCGGAACTTAAGACGCACATAATTTTTAGAGGGGTTAAACAGGGAAAATAGTGAACCAAATAGTGTAATAAAATATTTAATAAACTATAACAGAATTACATTTGAACCATGTAAAGTGAACAGCAGTCAACAGTGGCATTAAGAACCATTACCACTGTGATTAACAAATGGAGAGACTTAAAGTTTTGTGTACTCATGTACCATAAATTTAATTCAAGTACATATAGACCATTATCAGCCAGTGATAAGACCTATACCACGCTACCTATATTTTACATTTCCTTTCATCCACCTCCTCCCCATGCTTATAGAAATGACAGATGAGATAGTTGTGCAACTCTGCCCATCTACAGCTCAACCCTTTCTTCTTTAATTACCTCCTTTTTCATCTCTTTTCTGTGTTATGGCATTTCTTTCCTAGACGGTGCACTCTCTCCCCCCAGTTCTCCTTCACAGGGACAAAAAACAATACTTGGTGCAAGGGAAGGATGCTCTTAAAGGCTTCTTTATAGAGTTCTGTTTTGACCAGCTTTCTGAAAATCAAAAGGGATCTTGATGGACCTCTGGTGCACCTCTACAAGCAGAGGAGAACATTCTGGAGTACTGTTGACAACTGCTGAGAAAGCCCTGTTTCTAGTGGAATTTCTCTGGACCTCCCTTGGGGAGTGGCCACCCGTCACAACAAAGACTGGGAGGAACCGGTGGCATGAGTAGTAGTAGCTCTTTGAGAAAGATACTCCAACAGGTATTTGTGAATAGGTTCTTCTCCCCTCAGTTGGGGTAGCCCCTCAGTTTCGGCGGGAAATGTCAAAGGAATCATTTTGGTGACTTTCAAACTCTCTTCTTTATTTTACACCTACATCCACCAGCACATCACTTATGGGATCAAAACCTTTCAACTCTGGCAACAAGCCGAAACTTTTCTCATAGTCCCAAGGACTCGGCGGTGGGACACACACCCCCACGCCATTCCCGATGTTTTGTTCTCTGGAGAGGGGTGCTCCGCAGTGCACAAATTGTCCCACAGCATGTGTGCCACACCCACCCTCTCACATCAAGGTTTGTCATGGAACGGATTATGCCAGACCTCCGACTCGTGCTGTAGCGATAATTCGCGGGCCACAGCGATCACTGTCCATTCTCTGGTCACGTATGTGAATGTCTGCCACGTTCCTCCGGGTACCCCCTCATCCTCATTCCTCTCACCCTCCATTTAAGCCTTTCTCTTCTCTCTCTCTCTCTCTACTGTCTCTTTAGCCTCTCCACAATACGAGAGTCATGACGGGTATTTTCCTCCGTCTCCGGTAGCCTGCCTCCTCCTTCGGGACCCTTAGTCTCTCCCACGCTCTGGTCCGGGGGTCCTCCATCCGGATCTATTCCCTATATCCGCTGTCCCCGCCTTTATCTCCACCCTCGGCTCCTGCTCTATTCCCGCCGTTTCTTCCTTGGTTCCTCTAACTCAGAGGGTCCCCAACCCCTGGTCCGCGACATGGTGCTGGTCCGTGGCCTGAGCTGGACCGGGCCATGGAGACAGACCACCCACCCTACCCCCTGCAATCACTCATCCCCACATAGCTGATTTGCGCATGCGCGCTCCAGTGTGCCTGTGCTACCATTTGCACTTGCGCACGAGCAGAGGGGTGCCCCGCCTTCCCCAGCTGGTCCGTAGGGTGAAAAATGTTGGGGACCCCTGTTCTAACTGCCAACTTTCGTATTCCCC